GCACCAGTTCAAATCCCAGCCTCTCCACTTCTGATCCAGCTCCCTACTAATGTGGCTGGGAAAGCAGTGGAAGATCACCCAAGTGCTTGGGCCTCTGCATACACTTGGGAGACCCAGAAGCAGCTTCTGGCTCCTGGCTTCAGATGGGCCCAGCTATGGCCATTGCAGCCATTTGTAGAGTGAATCAGTGGATGTATCTCCCTCTCTGTAATTATGCCTTTCAAATAAATCAATCTTAAACAGCAAGTGGGTCACAAGCTGTAGTTTGCTGACCTCTGCTCTAGAACACGTAACACTTCTGAAAGCCTCTTGATGCCCATCAGAACCAGTGGTCCTATATTTCTCTGCTCTTATATTGCTGGTAAATCTCCTTAGCGTATCTAATATACCTTCTTATACAATCATCTCCATCAAGGAGTAAGTTCTATGAAGGTAGGTGACATTCTGCTACACAAAGTTCCCCAAATCCCCACCCTCGTGGGCACCTTGTAGGCTCCACATTCAATGGGTATTGGTTCCCCCAAACCAAATCTATCCTGAAAGGAAGACTTGGCACATTCATGACATGCAGGAGGAATGAGCAGCGGTGGATGTATGTCTAGCATACCAGACACGGCATCCAGTATCACAGTGCTAGGGTTCAATACCCAGCTCCAGCTCCTGACTTGAACTTCTGCTGAGGCAGGCCCTGGGAGGCAGCTGTGATGGCTCAAGTAGTTGGGTTCCTCCACTCATGTGGGAGGATCCTGGCTTCAGCCTCAGCCTAGCCCTGGTCATCACAGGTATTTAGACAAGTAAACCAGAGGATGTAGACTCTCTTGGTGTGTCTCAAATTTAAAAAAAAGAGAAAGAAAACAAGCAGCAGATTCTGAAAGTAGTTCTGAAGGAGTATCACGGGACCAGAGTCCTGGTATCACTAGGATACACACATGGTTCTTCTGTCCTACACCAGGGTGTGCTTATTATTTTACAATCATGCCTTGTGTGCGTGCAGGGATGCCTTTGTTTTCCCCAACCCACTAGAGAATAAAGAACTGAGATTTCCCATTAGGTGCATGATAAATATTCAACAAATGTAAAATAGTTCTGAGGGAGGGGAAGGAAATTTCCTTTTTCCCATGATAGGAAGGTGATAGCAGATGCTCACAGGGTCTTCTCCAGGTCTGACAAAACACATCAGGTCTCAGCTGCCCTTCTCACATAACTTTCTTGGTTAGGAAACACTGGGGGGGCCTGGAAGGCTCCTTGTTTGCTGTGGATTCCAAATCCCCACACAAAAGTACTTGTGGGACAGAGGAAACGGTGCATGTAGAAGGTATCTCCCAGGGGCCAGCACTGTGGTATACTGCATTGAGCCTCTGCCCGTGGTACCAGCATCCCAGATGGGTGCTGGTTTGAGTCCTGGCTGCTCCACTTCTGATCCAGCTCCCTGCTGATGGCCTGGGACGGCAGTGGAGGGTGGACTGGGTACCTGCACACTGGCTCCTGGCTTTGGATCGGTGCAGCTACGCTGTTGCGGCCATTTGGGGAGTTAACCAGCGGGTGGAAGACTTCTCTGTCTCTCCCTAATAAATAAATAAATCTTACCAAAAAAAAGTTTTTCTAAACCCAGGAGCACTTAGGGAAGACATGGAGTTTGGGGTAAAGGCAATCCCAGGAAATAACACAATTCAGATCACTGCTAAGCAGGTTCTGGCTGCTCCAGAACAGGAGGCAGGAGGGAAGAAGAGAGGAGGGCGCATCGTCCCAGGCTGCTCCTAAAACAGAGGGAGCACTAAGGAAAGGGTAGGTTACAAAGCAGGAACCAAGGACGGGGAATTGAAGCGACAGGCCAAGGTGGAGAGGAAACTCTCTTAACAGGGCAAGAGAAGGAGCAATGCTGAATGAAGAATTTAGAGCTGAGTAAAAGGTTTATTAGTGCAGTCAACACCATGGAACAGCACATACAAGACAACCAGCAAACTGCAGGACACTGGTGCGAGAGGAGGGAGGGAAGCCTGGACAGAGCTTCCTGGCTCCGTTGGAGGGCGACAGCAGGAGTATGGGCCTAGGGGAGGAAGGCAGGGGCAAAGGGGGATGGAAGAAATGTAGTAACCAGGCTAGTTTAGCAGCGTTTCCAAATTCCTGAGCACGGTGTCCTGGAGCTGGAACACCTGACTGTTCTCTACTCCCCTCAAGCTGTATCCCTCTACCCCGGTCCCAGTGGAGTCATGATCCAACTACCCAGACCCACGGTGAGCTGGCCTGGAATAAGACTCCCAAAAGAGCGGCCATTATATGATGGGGAGGATCCTTTCACTCTCTCCAGACCCACACCCACCTGCATATCAAAACAATTGAACCTACTGCCCCATCTGGACTCTGCCAGTCACCCCAGGGATCCAGGAATGCCCCAGGTGGCCTGCGATGGTCCTTTGTGGGGCACAGGTGAAGCAGAACACAGTGCTTACTTACAGACATAAACATAATTTCTACCCCATTTTCCCGGCAAAGCTTAGAAGTCAGTTACATAGCTCTGAGGAAGCTGCCTTCAAAATTAATACTCTAAATCCAGTTCTACAGTGAGACCCTGGAAGGGTCAGGAACAGATTTCTCCAGAGGGCACAGGCATCGCTGCAGGCAGTCGTGTCCCTCGTGGGAGTAGAGGAAGCTCCTCAGTTCAGATGTGCTCTGAGGACTGGCGGTGACCAACCAAGGACTCCCTTGGCTCTTTCCTAGATAAAGCCGAAGGCTGTGCTGAAAAGGCAAAGTATCGAGGAGATCCCATCCCTTTCCCACCCTGTCCAGGCTCCCCACAACAGGAACAGCAAAAGAAGTTTCAAGTTTTGTTGATTTTTTTTTCTTTTTTCCTTTCTTAAAAAAAAAAAAAAAGTAAATAAATTAAATTGCCAACAATGTGGCTGGGCTAGAAAGTAGGGTAGCCATGACCAGGCCATTCTAAAAAAAAAAAAAAAAAAAAAGAAAGAAAGAAAGAAAGAAGGTAGGGCGCACAGGTGAGGTTTGTGAAATATAAACAAACAATGGCCAAAGGGAATTATCAAAATAACTAACTATACTCACGGGGCTGGAGAGGGTCTATGGAACAATGATGGCCCACGCCACGAGGCGCAGTGCCAGAGAACAGCTTCAAGCTGAGCATACAAGTCCCGACATATCAACCCCGACCCCCAATCCTGTCATTCCCTAATTACGAGAAAGTGTGGGAAAGAAGAGCTCATCTGGAAATGTTTAGCATTCCAATCTGCACACCTGCAGACCCAGCAGGAGCTGCACCTTTAACATGGGCTGGGTAGGGTGCGCTTGGCACGGAGGTCCAGTCTTCCCCTCGGGGCCATCAGCGAGGGCCAGTCACTGGCCTGTTTATTCCCAGGGCTTCTGTTCCATGCTCACCCTTCTTCAGAATGTCTGCTCCCCAGAGCTGCTCTCTAAGTGCTGCTCAGAGACAACAGGCCTGCCTGCTCCGATTCCACTTGGGAGGAGAGGGACAATTACACACTTCTCTCTACTTGATCCTCTAGGGAAGATGAATCTGAATCTCTTTGTGCTTTCAGAAAATATCAGGAACCATGGCCCCTAGGCAGAACGGAGGCGGGAGCTTTCCCACCCAGACTGAGGACTTCCGGACATTTTGGGGGGAGCAATATGGCAAAAGGAGGGAATCTGGGTTTCCCACCTGAAAGACTGAGCAAAGTGCCCCAGGGCCCTTCAGTGCCAGAAGAGCGGGGAGAGGTGTGGCCCAAGTGTCAGCCTCAGCATTAAGGACGGTGGGGAGGACTGGGGGCCCAGCTGCGGGAGCGATGGATTTTCTGATTTCCATCTCTTCCTGATAGCCCAGCAAGTTCTCTAGATCTCCTCCACACCATGTGCAAATATCATGACAAGCCCCGGCTCCTGCACCATGTCATCACCCATATGCTGGTTCTCACAGGCCATCACCACCACGGCCTGCTTGCCAGGGATACGCTTGGCCACGTAGTTCTCATAGTAGCGCCGGTTCATCTGTCTTGTCTCTAGTGTAGCCAGACCCTGGGGCCAGCTGCGCTCGTGGGCATTTTCAATCAGCTCGTTGACAATAGAAGCAGGGCAGCCACTTTCCACCAGGGAGCGCTTGATCACCGCCTGGAGCACAGCATCCGGGGTAGAAATCATCCCTCCCCAGCGGGTCACTCTTGCTGGCTGCAGGGAGTTCACCCACCTGTGTGGAGGGGTGGAGGCAGTCACTCCAGATCATCTGCTTTTTCTACCTTGGCTCTTTCTCCCGACAGGAGGGATCTCCCACTGCAGTCAGCCTGACTCGATTCTTCCATCTTTCCTTCCATCATTGGCTCAGAAACCCCGAATCTTTCCCCTAGTTGGTCCCATGTGAGTTACCACATTACAATAAATGCCTGAGCCTATATTCTTCCTACTGTTTTCCTTTGACATTCCAGTTCTTAGCACACATGGCACATAGTAAGCGCTCAACAGAGGTTTCCTGAGTGAAGCAATTACTCCTCTGCATTGGATCCCACTCGACACTAACTGTCCCATACATGGTAATTCACACTCCAGGTCAGTCTCTGTGTGTACAGGACTCCAGAACTGACAGGGACCTTGGACTTTACTGTTTGCTTTGCTTGTTTACGCTGATTTTAGATCCCTTTCCTGGACTGCCACTCTGCCTTCTCAGCTCTGGGTCACAAGCTACCTGAAGATAAGGACAGTGTCTACTATTTCTGCTTGGCCCTCCTAGCCCTCGATAGCCTTTCATACGGGGCTTCATGAGGGTGGGTACTCAGCTACTTCCAGATAAACTCCATCCTTGGGCAGACCCCCTTCCATCCACCCAAATGAATCAGAATCCTGCACTGGAGCTCAGGGCTATCGTCCTCTCCTCTGTCCCTGTCCTTCATCCCAACACCCGATCAGTGGTGGCCCCAGCCCGGCTCCCTTACTGCCATTTCCTGGCTGGGGTGTGACACTCACTCTAGGATCTCATTGTATTCAATTGTCTCCTCCAGGTTCTGAAGGTTGGGGTTGACACTGCGGATGGCACGCATGTATGCCTTTAGCAGCTGGATGTCTCGCTTCTGTTGGAGGCAAGAAGAACCAAGGATGATCGTTACGGCAGACAACAGGTAAAAGAGAAAAGTTTCTCTGAGTTATGAGAGCAATTCAGAGATATGAGAACAACCAAACGAGAAGCTTCAGCAAGATGAGGACAGGACTCACAGCAGTCTCAACACCTGGCAAGGTGCCTTCACGGAGACGGCACTCAATGAACCTAAGAACGAATGCACGATTGGAGGAAGGGAGGCAAGGGGAGCTCCATTCGGATTCCCTGCTGAGCTGCAGTGTCTGTCCGCTCACCCAGCTCACAGCACAGGCCCTTGTGTTCGTGAATGGGGCTTGCTGCTCCCAGGCAGGTAGTCACGTGCACGTGAAGGACATGTTGCCCCCCCCTTCTCAGAACCCTACCTGCTCTGCCAGCTGGTGTTTGTGTTCAGCTGAAGTCTTCTCCAGCTCGGCGATGCGTGTCTGTTGCTGCTGGACCACGGTGCGCAGGTGCTTAATGCAATTGTGGTTTGGCAGCTCATCTTTGGGCATCTCCAAGCTGCGGCCCAGGTGGGGAAAGAGCATAACAGGTGCAGTCAGTGGGCTGTGTGGCCAAATGGTCTATCCTGCAGCCCAGGATTGCTGAGTGGCCCTTGCCTACCGCAGGGGTCTAGCATTTCTGTCAGGCTGCCTTCACATGCTTCTCCCAGTGCTTCCTGTCTCCTGGCTCGTTTGCTGTCTACTTTCTGTGAACTTTCCTCCTCCAGGACCTGGTGGGTTTTATTTTCTTACATGTTTTTCTTTTCCTTTTCTTCTTCTTCTTCTTCTTCTTTTTTTTTTTTTTTTTTACAGGCAGAGTGGATAGTGAGAGAGACAGAAAGAAAGGTCTTCCTTTAGCCGTTGGTTCACCCTCTAATGGCCGCCACGGCTGGCGCACCGCGCCGATCCGAAGGCAGGAGCCAGGTGCTTCTCCTGGTCTCCCATGGGGTGCAGGGCCCAAGAACTTGGGCCATCCTCCACTGCACTCCCAGGCCACAGCAGAGAGCTGGCCTGGAAGAGGGGCAACTGGGAAAGAATCCAGAGCCCCAACCAGGACTAGAACCCGGTGTGCCGGCGCCGCTAGGTGGAGGATTAGCCTATTGAGCCACGGCGCTGGCCTCCTTTTCTTCTTTATTCCCCTTGAATTGTCCTCTCATGCCCATTCGAGCCAGCCCCTTTCTTAAGACGGCCTCCTACTCTGAGAGGGACGGCGCCGTGTGTCCTGCCAGACCTGAGCATGTGTAGCAGAAGGGCAGGCCACGGTGTTTGAGCTACCACCCAGCTCTCTTCTTCCCCTACAGATTCTGCCTACCCACTTATTCCTTCTGAGAAGCCCCAGCTATCAGCAGTTTATCAAATATTTCACACCCCACAGAAAGAAAAAATAGGGCAAAAGGAAATAAGAGAAGGCCAACCTGACACAGAGAAAGTACTGGAATAAAAGGAAAGAATAAAGTGGATCCACCTTCAGTGCTATCGCACAGACTGCTGAATTTCTATCCCCTTTTATTAAAGCAACAGCAAAAACATAGTTGAGAAGCGCAGTGAGAGAGTAAGACCTGGGGCAGGGAGCCAGGGAGGCCAAGAGTGCTGTTTGCATGCACTGGTAAGCAGGGAACCCAGAGACAGAGGTGCAGGCAGGAAGGCCCTTATCCGCTTGGGACACAGGGGAAGGAATCTCACCCGCAGCCCTGTTCACAGGTCACAGGCCGCTTCGGGTTGTGCTCACAGTCGCTGAGGTGAGACATGAGGTTGTCAAGCCGGACAACAGCACTGCAGCCAAACACAGCGTTGTCACAGGCAATCTGCAGCTTTGACAACATGTTCCGCATGATCCGAGGTACTGGGCGCAGGTGGGCGACCGTCACAACGCTACGGTCCACCGGACACGTCTGCTGCTGAGAGAACCACTGGGTGATGCAGGCGTTGCAGAAAGCATGTTCGCAATGAGGCGCCTGGAAGGGAGCACAGGAATCAGCAGGGCTAAGAGCTGCCGTCTGGGCCTCTCAACAGCTACTGCGGTCACAGCCCCCTGGGGGTCACAGAGGTCTACTGTGGCCAAGGCATTGTGGGGCACAGGCTTAAAATGTTTCCTGTGCTCAAGATTGCAAATAGGTTGTATAAAACAAGACAAAGGAGTGAGAAGTTATATAACAATCACAGCTATAAATAACATCCCAGGACAATAGGAGAGATGACATAAGGCGACCGATTACTAATTATCACCTGGATTGCACACACAATAAATTGCTCAACAAGTCCAGAGGAGGGAAGATCTTTCCAGGCTAGGTCAATCACAGCAGGTTTTTATTTGTCAAGGACAGAAGTTGACACAGGTCTTGAAGGCCGGTTCAGACTACATATGTAGAAAGGACAGGAACAGAGATTTACTGGCAAAAGTTCAATATAAGAAACCAAAAGTTTACAAAAGCCTGGGACCCTGTTGAGAAGGCTGACCTAAGGTGCTGCCCAGAGTCCAAGCAGCCATGCTTACAGAGTGGAAACTGTAACAGGCCTCGGTTGTTTGTGGAATCACATTCTTTCAGTGTCACAAAGACCACCTTTAAGCCTACTTCTCTGAGAAGCAACTCTGAAATGGGCCCCTTGGGTGAGAAGACTCCCTGGCTTCAATGCAGACAAGATTTGGCATCTAGCATGGGACATAGGAGGAACTTGGATGGTGTAAATGAATGGCGCCAGTGCCTACTATGAGCCCAACACACTGTGAGGAGCTTAAGATTTATGAAAAAGAGGGACTGGTATTGTGGCATAGATGGTAAAACTGCCACATGTGATGCTGGTGCATATGTGATGCTGGCATCCCATATGGGTGCTGGTTCATGTCCTGGCTGCTCCACTTCTGATCCAGCTTCCTGCTAATGGCCTGGGAAATGCAGTGGAAGATGGCCCAAGTACTGCCACCCATGTGAGAGACTGGATAGAGAGCTCTAGTCTCTTGGCTTCAGCCTGGCCCAGCCCTGGCCATTACAGCCATCAGGAGAGTGAAAAAGCAGGTAGAAGATCTTTCCCTGTCTCTCTGTAACTTTCTTTTTCTTTTTTGACAGGCAGAGTGGACAGTGAGAGAGAGAGACAGAGAGAAAGGCCTTCCTTTTGCCATTGGTTCACCCTCCAATGGCCGCCACGGCCGGTGCGCTACGGCCGGTGCACCACGCTGATCCAATGGCAGGAGCCAGGCACTTATCCTGGTCTCCCATGGGGTGCAGGGCCCAAGAACTTGGGCCATCCTCCACTGTACTTCCCTGGCCACAGCAGAGAGCTGGCCTGGAAGAGGGGCAACCGGGACAGAATCCGGCGCCCTGACCAGGACTAGAACCTGGTGTGCCAGCGCCACAGGTGGAGGATTAGCCTAGTGAGCCACGACGCCAGCTGTAACTTTCTTTTTATTTAAAAATTTATTTATTTATTTGAAAGGCAGAGTTACGGAGAGGAAGGGGGTAGGGGGAGGGAGGGTCTTCCATCTGCTGGTTTACTCTCCAGATGGCCACAATGGCTGGAGCTGTACCAATCCGAAGCCAGGAGCCAGGAGCTTCTTCAGGGTCTCCCATGCGGGTGCAGGGGCCCAAGGACTTGGCCATCTTCCACTGCTTTCTCAGGCCATAGCAGAGAGCTGGATCGGAAGTGGAGGAGCTGGGACTTGAAATGGAGCCCATATGGGATGCCAGCACTGCAGGCAGCGGCTTTACCCGCTATGCCACAGTGCGGGCCCCTCTCCTGTAACTCTTTCAAATAAACAAACAAAAACCTTAGAAAAAAAAGATTTAAAAAAAGAAGAAGCTTCCGTCCTCAAGATGAACACCAAGACTGAAACACCAGAAGGCTTTGTAAGGAAAGAAATCATTCTCAATATTGTTAATCTAACTGCCAGTAAGTTTTTATTTTATTTTTTATTCAAAGACATCCTTAATTCTTTTCAAAGTCTTTCAGATCTTATCATCTTGCTCCCTTCCAAAAAAAATCCTGAATCTGCCCACCCCTCTCCTTCTCTGTAGTTAATGCAGGTCAAGCCTCCCATCACCTCTCACCTGAATTACTAAATAAGTCTTCTAGTTGATTGCCCAACTTCTACCTCACCCCATTATAATCTACTGTACATTGAGCAGCCAAGGTGATCATTTAGAAATACAAACCATACTGTATCACTTGCCTGCTTCAAACATTACAATGTTTCCCACTGTACCTGAAATAAATCCAAACTCCTACTTAGGACCATGAAACTCTACCTGATCTGGCCCTGTGCCTCTGACCTTGCCTCATCTCACACCACGCTCCTAGTAGTGTTTAGGCCATTTTGGCTTGCTTGCTTCTTTTAAAGAAAGTATTTTTATTTTTATTTATTTATTTATTTATTTTTGACAGGCAGAGTGGACAGTGAGAGAGAGAGACAGAGAGAAAGGTCTTCCTTTGCCGTTGGTTCACCCTCCAATGGCCGCCGCGGCCGGCGCACCGCGCTGATCCGATGGCAGGAGCCAGGAGCCAGGTGCTTTTCCTGGTCTCCCATGGGGTGCAGGGCCCAAGGACTTGGGCCATCCTCCACTGCACTCCCTGGCCACAGCAGAGGGCTGGCCTGGAAGAGGGGCAACCGGGACAGAATCCGGCACCCCGACCGGGACTAGAACCCGGTGTGCCAGCGCCGCTAGGCGGAGGATTAGCCTAGTGAGCCGCGGCACCAGCCGAAAGTATTTTTATTTTAAAAATTTGTTTTATTTGAAAGGCAGAGTTACAGGAAAAGAGAGAGACAAAAGGAGAGATTTTCCCATCTGCTGGTCCACTCCCCAGACGGCCATAGTGGCCGGAGCTCTGCCAGTCCAAAGGCAGGAGCCAGCAGGTTCTTCTGAGTCTCCCAAGTTAGTGCAGGAGCCCAAGCACTTGGGCCATCTTCTGCTGCTTTCCCAGGTACATTAGCAGGGAGCTCGATAGGAAATGGAGCAGCCAGGAATCAAACCAGCAACCATATGGGATGCTAGTGCTGCAGGCGGAGGCTTAACCTGCTACGCCACAACACCAGTCCCTTTGCTTGCTTTCTGTTCATCACATCCAGCTCATTCTTGTCTCAGGATCTTTGCTTGTCTAAGTTAATGTTCTTCCTCGGAATTTTTTTTTTTTTTTTTTTTAAGATTTACTTAGTTATTTGAAAGAGAGAAAGAGGGAGAAGCAGAGAGGAAGATCTTGCATCTACTGGTTTACTTCCCAGATGGCTGCAACAGCTGGGATTGGGGCAGGCCAAAACCAGGAGCTTCATCTGTTGGTTGCAGGAACCCAAACACTTGGGCCATCTTCTGCTGCTTTTCCACAGCCATTAGCAGGGAGCTGGATCAGATGGGGAGCAGCCAGAATGTGAACCAGTGCCCATATGAGATATGAGCATCTCAGGTAACGTCTGTGCTACAACAACTGGCCCCATTCCTCTAGCTCTCTCTTTTGTGGGGTGGGCCTTTACAGAGGATCCTTGTCTTGGCTTTCGTCTGGCCCAGCTCTAGCCATCATAGCCATTTGGGGGGTGAACCAGCAGATGGAAGATCTCTCTGTCTCTCTGTAACTCTTTCAAATAAAATAAATAAATTTTAGAAAAAAAAAAAGCTGCTACCTGGGACACCTGCATCCCAATATCAGAGTGCTTGGGTTGAATCCCAGCTCCACTTCTGATTCCAGCTTCCTATTAGTGCACAGCCTGAAAGGCAGCAGGTAATGGCTCCAGTATTTGGGTCCTTGCTGTCCAAGTTAGAGACCTAGATTGAGTTCTCAACTCCTGGCTTCAGCTTGGTCCAGCCCTGGTTGTTACGAGCATTTGGGAAATGAACCAGTGGACAGAACATCTCTGTCTGTTTCTGTCTTTCAAATAAATAAAAATAATTTTCTTACAGGTTAACTTTTATATAAGAAAAGTGGACCCTTCCCAATATATTAAAATAGTATCTCTATATACTTTTTTTAAAGAAATTTTTTTTTAAGATTTATTTTATTTATTTGAAAAGAGTTACAGAGAGAGGTAAAAAGAGAAGCAGGAGTCTCCCACCCATTGATTCACTCCCCAAATGGCCACAACAGCCGGAACTGAGCTGATCTGAAGCCAGGAGCTCCTTCCGGGTCTCCCACGTGGGTGCAGGGGCCCAGGGACTTGGCCCATCCTCTGCTGCTTTCTCAGGCACATTAGCAGAGAGCTGGATGGGAAGTGGAGCAGCCAGGACTCGCACCAGCATCCATATGGGATGTTGGCATTGCAGACCAGGGCTTTAACCCACT